AATTGGGGTGACCGAATGGCATACTGTAAGGCCAGTAGAGGGAGCCACATGAACGAAATCGTTTTTCATTCTTGACGCGGATACTTTTAGCTTCACAACAAAAAAAAAATTAATAAAAAATATCAATGTATGCTCATTTGATCGCATTTTTAAAAACGTACCAATAGATGGCCCACCCTGTACATTGGGTGCTTTCGAATTGCATCCCTAGACACTTTCGTGCACATAGCGACACAAGTTGCGTTCCAATTGTCCGTTATCGTCGACACAACACAACACATCCGTACTCAGTCGAAAGCTGTGTAAGCTTGTGTTTAGACGCTCCAGTTGCTGCGTAAAGAAGAAATTAACGGCCGGAGCCGATGCAACAGAGGATGCACGGAATGATGCGAGTCCCGAAAAGAAGTCAAGGCTCGAGGAGAAGTACTCCAAAGCCGAGAATAATGACGACGCGGAGGAGGCTTAATATTCTCTCATATTTATTATTAATGGACAGACCTAATCTATAGAGTGTGAAGCCAGACCAGATCGTCTGTGCATTTTCAGAGAGATGGCGTGCATAAATGAAAAAAAAGAAGAAAAAATCTAGAAAAAACATTTTGACGTTCATTGCGTTAAGAACTTTCTGTGTTCAGGACAATTGTGTGTCTTCCATAATATTTCTTGCAATTGTTAATTGGAAATAGCGATACAAATCCAACATTTTTGGAAAAAATATCGTAATTATTACATTTAATGTAAAGCATAAACAAACGGTGTTCTTTCTACTGACATCCACGTGCATATATATTATTTATTTAGCGTTAGAATTTTAAGATAAGGAAATAATATAAATATAAATAATATAAATATAATAAATAATATAAAATATAAAAATAATATAACAGGTGTCGAATACGTCCGTTTAAGCTAAAATCACCTGATTTCGATAATTTTATTTAATATTAAATTTTATTATTTTTTTCTCTATTTTTCGTACCTATTTCGTTTCTATTTTTTATACCAAATTTTATTTTAACATGTACATTTTAATTTTAATATTTAAAAGAATGCTATTTTTGAAGTTATAGTATATTATAATAACGAAAAGATTAAAACCATAAGAGTGCTGATGTAGGGTTGACTAGTTACAAGATAACAGGTGTCAAATACGTACGTTTAAGCTAAAATCACCTGATTTCGATAATTCTTACAATAATAAAACGTTTCCGATTATTTAAAATAAAATTGAAATAGACTGAAAACCGGCCTTATGAAAACTCCTATGGCAACACCATCGCTCCATTTAAGCTAAAACTTTAATTGAATATAATTGACCTCAAGAAATAGATTTTTATGTGTTTGAACAAAATCTGGAGGGTGCTGAAATCGGCCCTTATGGACCTTTTCATAAAAGAAAAATCATCTCAGAATTCAGTTAGGAACACGTCTTTGCAAGGAAAACGTTCAAAATACGTTTATTAAATAAACGTTATAAAAATCGTATACATGATAAACATATAAACTGAAAATAAACATTTAAAAAATTGTTATCAATTTTATATTTAAATATTTAAAGTTTAATATGTTTTTTAATGAAGTTTATAAAATGTCTATAACGTTTATTAAGCATTTTTTACTAGTTTAGAATATGGTTCTTCTACGAGACGTTTTAATAAACGTTACATTTAATGTTAATAACGTCTATTTCACACGGGGTTATTCTGAATCACCCTGTATGGGACGCTCTAATTAAAATGTTAGAAATTTTTGCAGCATATCATGAAGAAAGTTACTTTCAAAAAATTATTTTCGGATTTATATCTAGTTAAATTTTTAGATACTTCAGTAAAATCTTTCTGTGCAGGCGATACCCGATAATTAATAATTTATTATATCCGTCAAAACTAGCAGTTCTAAGCTTTATCACGCTATTATACCCAAACAACACAGTAACGTTCAAAATACGTTTAATAAACGTTATAAAAATCGTCTACATAATAAACATATAAATTAAAAATATACATTTAACATTTCATATGTTTTTTAATGAAGCGTATAAGACGTTTATTAAGTATTTTTTACTAGTTTAGAATATGGTTCTTATACGACATTTCGACGTTTTAATAAACGTTACGTTTAATGTTAATAACGCCTATTTCACGTTTTTATACAGCATAAAAAATGTTTCCACTAAACGTTTTTTAAACAAATATTGTCTGCTTGGGTATTCTACTTAATCAGATATAATACTGCCTGAGACAGAGCGCGAAAATTGCTATCTTAGACATACTAAAGGATTTGACTATCCTTTCAACGATCGTTACGCGTCGAAACAGATGACAAATCTTAATCGACGAAGCGGTATAAGATCGTTCTCGTACGGTCGTCTTTTATGATACACAATAAAATCGATCGCGATTATTTCTTTAGCACACACGTACTAGCGAACGGCCCGGCAACACTCGCGCTTCCACATCTATACGGAAAAAATGATTCTGCTAAAATATTAAAAAATTTAAGTAAATACGAATTTGAAAATAATTTTGATGGACTGTCAAAATGATTATGTAACTCAAGCGTGATGAACAATGCTGCAAAAAATTTGAATATTCTAGCAATTATGATGACATTTTTTATTAACAAAATATTACTTTTTTTCAGTAATGAGTGACATTTCCAATTCGTTACAAGTAATGTTTGACTTTTCTAACTCTAATGTTATCATTATTGTTATGAAAAATTCACAATGTCATAACAAAATTGTTATTGTAACAAAGTAATGATAAAAAGTAACATGTAACGCGTACTTCTATTCCTTGCTTTTAGGTAAAATATTTATAATCTTGAAAGATATAAAATCTATTTTATTTTTTGTTAATAAATACTTCGCTAATTAATGTTGATTTTTAAAAAAGCAAGATTTTTTTTTAAAAGATACCTCTCCTGTACGATTACTTTTTGCACTCACTGTAATCATTTTGATAGTCCAACAAAATTATTTTCTAATATAATAGATATTTAGCCAAATTTTTAGATACTTCAACGAAACCGTTCTTTCCGTGCATAATCTAGTAAAATAAAGCTTCATCAGACATGCAGATCTATCACCTTCCACCCATAATAATTTTCAGGACATTTGAGGTTCCACGATCAATTGGATTTGCTTTCTCGTAACGTCGTTATCGAGTGTGGATCCTCGTCGCTTGGAGGACAACAAATGTGGGACGATGAGTTATGCACAGTTTATCTTTCAGTTGAACGACTAGGTAGCCGTAATGAGGCCAATGAGGACTAAGTTATCGCTGCGAACCAACTTCGCAAATATTGAAACTAACTTTCTTTATTCCAACGAGACATATCGAATTGCTTAAAAAGTAAAAGAATCAAAAGCAACTTATTTGGTAAAATTAAGTCCCTCGTGAGATTTTATATAATCTCTGTCGTCAATATTGAGTATAAAGATTGTAATAATTCTGTAAAGAAAATCGCACAATTGATTTTTTAAGAAAAACTACTAATTCTTTGACAATTTATTTATTTCATAAATTAATAACGTATTCTGATTGTTTGCTACGACATGAGGTCCAAATGATGATCGTAAATGAAGAAGCTTTATTTACCGCAGATTGCAAAGACGTGCGTCTTAGAATCCATGGCCTTATACACTTATACACGCATATACCGTGGCACTTGCAGTTCTCATATTCGTACAGCTCGTCTGGATGCTTTCATGATCGCGGTTTATTGCGACAGTCATCACGACCATCAAGGTCATGGATTTTCATCGTAAATAATAAATTCAAACGTATATATATATATAATATACAATATATACAATATATACGTCCTTTATTTTCACAGAGACGCGAAGTAGCCAGGCTTGGAACAAAAGTCTTAAGTATATTTCATGAAACTCAGCAGAATGTGACGATTACAGATTTGATATAAAAAACGGAAAGAACGATTTTACTAAAATATTAGAAAATTTAGATAGATGTAGATCCAAAAATAATTTTGTCGGACCATCAAAGTAATAACGTAGGAAACTCAAACACGATGAGCAATGCTGCATAAAGTTTTGAAATTCTAGCAAAAACGTTCTTTTTGTGAATAATGATTTGAAAGTTAAGAATGAGATAACAAATTTCCGCGTCGTTTTGATATCAATGTCTATTAAATTATTATCTGTGCTATTTTGATACAGTTCCCATTACGTGATATAATTGCCCGTCAATTTGAGTTTCATGAAATATACATATGACCGGTGCAACCGAAGGTGCAAGTTCTTCCACACGCGAGAGATCCTCTTCCACGTGACGGCTCGCTTATATGGTCCTTATGTGCGCTTCTTGCACGCAAGATCCTTCTCACGCGAGGCACTCTGAGAAAATTTATTGTAGCCTAATGCAACGCCTTGAACATAATACATATTCAATGATAAAGCCGTCCCCGATGAACTTGATGTATTCGTGTAAAATGTTATCGATTCAGTCCGTTTCTGTCATTGATTAAAAGTCCATGAAATGAAAGTAATCGCAAGAATCAAAATCTCTTTTGGTTGATGATGGATCTCGGCAAATCGAGGAATGGAATGTGATTACGTTTTTTAAAACTATCGACTGTAAATTAAAAAGTAGAATCTAAATACTAAAGATGCGTGTAATGCGAGAACATTTATTACAATAATCGAATACCGTAAATTAAGAAGAAGGATCTAAATACTATGAAACAAAAAGACAAGCTGCGTATACACTTCAAAGATTCAACTAAAAAGGTTGACGATTTGAAAATGAAACGCTGAATTAATAGTAACACAGTACTCATAAGTCCTCTATATTATCCTCTGAGCATTTAAATCATTTGTAATTTACAGTATTCCATGGCGATTAACGACGCATAATTTAGCCTAGACCGAGCACACCGGAATCGCGCGACGATTGATTAATGGTGCTTCCTTCACCGTAGCGGTGAAGAAACGACACTAAACCGACCGTCTTATTGTTAGTTCTCGATGATACCTGGCTCGAGGAGGCTCAGCTTCGCGGGTGGCGCGTCCGTGTAGTTCTGCTGGCCGTGTATCCTAGCGCCGCAGGTCCATAGACCTTCCTGCTCGGCGAGAGCGTGGCTCAGGCGGACGCTGCAGTCGCGAGCCTCGTTTCCGGCTGCTGGGAACTGCTTCACCACCACGGTGGTGTTAGAATTGACTGGGGTGAGTGACCACCGGCACTGCTCCACTGCCGAGGACGTCACGCAGCGCAGCAGAACGCTGCCGCCGGAGGAGATTTGGATATCCTGCGACAGCTCTGAGAACTTTACTTCCTCTGGAAAGAGATGTTAGCGACACATTAGAATCAGAATTAGAATGTACAACATTTAAATGAAAATTAATCCACTCTGGTAAATCAGAACGAATTTCCAAAAAGGTAAGGACGGATTCGATTTGATGCTCTGTTCATTTTTCAATTAATCAATGCACAAAGTAGATAAAAAAATTAAATAATAACATGAAACTTTTCTTTCTTTGATTATTTATAGATGAAACTGTTAGATATCAAAGGAGCAATGATAATCCAATTCCTTAAGTTAAATAATAATTTGTTATTTTTAACTTTTATGTCAGAATATAAATGTCAAGGTGTAAATCGATCCATTTCTGTGGTTAGTTTCAACATAAACACACGCATATATATATATTAACATAAGCACTTAGTAAATAACAAACTAAACTTGAGTCAAATTAATTACATTTTTTTTTAGTTAAATTCTTTAGCTCAGTTGTTTCAGTTAAATTAACGACATATTAAGTAAAGATATAATTTGATATTACGGATTTAATAATAAAAAAATACAAAATTTACTGGCTTTAAGTAATCGCTATAAAAAAAATTTGTAATTGACAAAACCATGGAGTTTTATCTGACCCCGACTTCTACCATTAAAAAATCATAAGCATCTTTTACCTTGCTCGTAAACCACGAGTTTCACAGGCGGCGATGTCAGGACAGTATTGAGCGACACGATGGAAACCTGACAACTCCAGTAACCCTGTTTCTCCGTGTACACGTGCGGAAGGTGAAGCGAGCAATCGCGACCGAGATCACCGTTGCTCGGGAATTCATTAAGGACGATCTCCGGATCACTGCCGTGCAACGGCTTCCACGTCCACACGCATTTTTCCACGCGGCTGCTGGTGACGCACTTCAACGTGGCCTCCGCACCTACTGGCACCGCCGTGTCAGTCGGTACCTCGACGAAGCTCACCTTAGCTGGAATCGGCCGTCATGATAAGAAAAATTCACGATTAGAAGTCGAGGGACGTGGAAAATGTACGTTTAGATCCATGTGAATAACGTTGGTGGATTCTATTTATTTGCCGAAAACACATAAAAAATAAAATTTTGAGAAATTTCTAACGACGCAGCGTTGTGTAAATTTTACAGAAATATTAGATGATATTGAAAATTTTGGAAAAAAGTCTATACAAATATGTGCTCAATTTTTGAAATTGATAATATTGTAATAACAAAGAGTTTTAATCATAAAAATATTAAACAATATTATTTATACATGTACTTATGTATAATTATGTATATTTACGTATCGTTTCTTAAAATTTTGAATTTTGATAGCTAATAATTTTTTATCTTTAAAACGTATCCTCTCGGGAAGATCAAACAAAATCGAATTTAATTAGTCATTATATTACTGCTTTATACGAATACAATTTATAACTGCGTTAGAATTAGTTTTCATTTAATATAAATACTACATAAATTAGACGAAATGTAAGAAAAAGGTGAAATGTAGGAAGGAAAAGTGCAGTCGAATTATACGAGATCGAAATTACGTTGAATTCCGATATCAATAACTCAAAGTGTATTAAATTTTTAATTACTTTTTTTTTTTCATTGCAATTAGTCTTAAGATTCTGAACATGAGATCTTAATTTCATGATTAAACAGAAAGACAAAAAGTACAGACATTTGAAACAGATATTATTATGCAATTACTTTAAATTTCTTAATATTAACACCATTTTACTGTTTTTCTACAAGCAGTCAATTTTCACTAAGACATCATTCGTAATTGCACGAGTATTCTTTCGCACGGCGCTCGTAATTGCATAGCAATCGGATCGGACGTCAGATAACGACCGCACAATTGTAGGGTTTGGGCATATTTATTTCTTAATTAAACGTAACCCGCATAAAAATATACTACTAGTATAAGTAAATTTAACAAGTGGTATCACTAATAATGTAATAGTGGCGGAGAAAATTTCATTAAAAAATTTCACTGAAATTTTAATAAAATTTTTTTGAAATTTTAATGAAATTTTTTCTCGAATTTGCTTATTGCACTAGTGACACTAATAGTATATTTTGATGCTGGAACCGTCGCGTACCTGTAGGCAGGAGGCTGACAGTCGCCGCGGGCGCCGTGTGCAGGATACCGTCGGGCGTCAAACGTACCCCGCAAGTCCACAGACCCTCCTCCTCGTACAATATGTTCTTGAATCGCACGGAACAGTCGTGTTCAGCGTCCTTGTTTGGAGTGAACTTCTTCACCATCAGTGGTTCCTTGCTCGAGTTCGACGCCCTCCATGACCACTCGCACTGTATCACCGGCTTGTTCGCCAAGCACCGTAGGAAGACCGATTCGCCGGCTGCAACCTGCACGCCGCGTGACAACTGCACGAACTCGACTATAAAAGGGAAGCAAAAGCTCTTCGATGGTTTTTCAATCGCGGAACGGATCGCGTGGCGTAAGATCGATCGGAGTCATCGTGGCGCAAAGTAAATGTGATATACTGTCGAGTATTTTTCAATATTCAACAGTTATCAATAATTATTTCACAAAATTATCAAAACTAGTTGGTTTTAAATATATATGTGTGAGAGACATCATTCAAATCACTGAAAGACGATGATTAATTGTATTAAAGATGTTCGTACCAATTGTTTAACTTGTTAAAATATATAGGAAAGCGTTGAATTTTAAAGCAATAGAAAATTATGTAATTTTTTGTTATTTTAAATAAGTGCCTTACATTTTTATTATTAAACACGAATTTTAATTTCAAGAAAATTATGAAATGTAAAATATATAATTATTCTTATATTTTCTTTGACTGCATTTTTAATTAATCAATATACAATTCTTTGCACGTAAAGAATGTAATCAATTAATTCATGTCAATATAAAATATATAAAACAGATTACATGTGTAAACGTCAGCATAATTAATTAGATACAATACTAAGAGAATCGACCGAGGAACATTCAACACAAATAAGCGAAGAAGGCCATATTCAGTCAAAGCTTATGCCTGTATTCATAGCCAGGCCTTATATTTAAAGCTTCCTTATTAAATTTATCTTCAGATGCTCTACGAATTATTTTATTGGCTGCTGAACATCTAAAGATAAATTTAAGGAAGCCTTAAATGTAAGGTCTGACTATGAATACGTTAGTGCCTAATAATTAGTGCCTAATAATTTAGTGCCTAATAATTAGTACCTAATAATTATATTTTTGTGTGAATTTTATAATTTCCAATTCAAGCAAACTAACTAATTACACGAAGTAATTAAATACCTTCCGATATGAGAAAACGGACGGGAGTCGCCTGGGTGAAAGAGGAATTCGGATCTACTCGGGCACCGCAGGTCCAGTAGCCTTCTTGCTCCGGTAGGACGTTCTTGAACTTGATACTGCATTCCGTACTGTCATTACCAAAGGCTGGAAACGATTTCACGTCGAGGTTCCAGGGTTGCGACTGGTTCAGTTGCCGCCAGGACCACTGGCATTCGCGCACCGGCGACTTCGTCTGACACATTATCTGCGCCGAGGATCCCGCCGGCACCTCAACGACATTCTCGTGCTTCGCGAATGTAATGAGGATGCCTGAAACGTGCGCCAGTTGCACCTTCGATATCTCTTACGTAATTTGAAAACAAGGGATTTGAAAGTTAATTAGGAAGATCAACTCGCAAAAATATAATTAAAAATGAAACTCGTCGTAATTAATTATTTCTCTTTCTTTCTCTCTTCATTCTGTTCAGTATGAGGCCTTGTACGCTGGTACTTTCATTTTCAGATTCTCTAATTAATTCGAAATCGACTATTTCTGAAAGGAAATGTATATCTATAATGTTTATATGTTTTATATAGCAATATAGCATGATTCATTCGCGATAGTCATCGAAGTAAACCGAATTCGAATGGAAACATTTCCATGATTCACTTGTCTTTCACTTTTTGGATGACTCATTCGGAGGATCGTTGTCAAAATTTAAAACTGAACAGATAAATCTAACAGATGTGATATGAATAAAAAACATTATTGATAATTTAGTACCAAATTTTAATTAAATATTGAAACACAATGCAAAATAAATAATGATAATATTTTACGTCACAAAATTCTTAAAAAAAAATATAATCGTTGACACAGTTGATAAGAACAAAGAGTGATATCAAGAGTGTTTTGTCACCAAGAATTCGAGGTCGTCCGAAAGCAACTGCGTAAATATATCGTGCTTATTCACCATACTCACGCGATTAAAATTGTAAACGAAGAACGGAACTATACGATTTAAAAAAGCTTTATCTTGTGGAATATCAGCAATATAGATAGATTTATAAAAGATAGTCTTATCGAATTTTCAAACAATTTGTCTATAATCATTTAATCTTAAGCCTAATTAATTGATTTATCAATAGAATGTAAATAAAAGAAGAAAGAAAAATAATTTTATTATAGTACTAAAAAATTGATTGACTATAATATTTACTTAAGAATTTTTTTCCATTAAAAATATAATTTCTCTTGTTACAAACATATAGATATAAGTATTTCAAGACAAAAAGTAAAACAAACTTAGACTAAATTAATTTGATCGAGCACAAGAAGACATCAAGATATCATATCTAAAAGTATATCTGAAGTACAGAAATTTTGAAATCGATGGGATTAACAAGATTGGAATGAATCCTACCGTGATTAACATTGACGATGCTAAGCTTGGCAGGATCGGTGCTAGTGAAAGGATCGCTGGTCGAGGCTCTCGCCGCGCAAGTCCAGTATCCTGTCTGCTCGTGCTTAGTGCTGGAGAATCTCACGGAGCAATCGTTGCTGTTATTCCCGAACGCGGGAAACTGTCGTACGGGCAATGGGTGGGTCGTGGGAGTTGCTGCAGTTGCGATCGTTGGGATCGCCGTGGCTGAAATCACCGAGAGGTTCGAGCGAACGGTATCGATGAATATTCAGCGCGCGATTACAGAATTATGAATAATGCCCGCGATATCCGGCGTAGAAAGATAAGCCTGAACTATAAGAATAGTTATCGCGCGGACTGGAGGAAAGCGATAAGAGAGAACACGTAGATGAATTTTAAAAGTGACTTGATTAACCTAGTGTTGTGAATTTATGATTGCATCAAAAACATCTTTAAAATTTTAAGGGAGAGATACTTTTCTATCGTTTTTATGGTATACTATGAGACTCTTTCCTTTCTACAGTTAAATAATTTACACACACTAAAAACTATAGATGTGGATTTAACACTTTGCGAGGTCTATAAAATTCTCACTGTGTTGGTGTTAATATTAACACCAACATGATGTGGATTTAACATCGTGGGTTTTAAATTCACACCATGATGATGTGTAGACACCAGGGGTTAAATAAATCCACACTCTATTGGTGTTGATGTTAACACCAAAGAGTGAGAATTATATAGACACTACACATCGATTCTTACGTGCATCAGGAATTGGATTTGCCATAGAAGAAACAATGCGATATTGCGCTTACTTGTAGAAACCGGTGGGCTTTCACTAACGTCCGGAAGCGGCAAGTGAACCGGTGGTAATGGTTGCCAGGACCATTGGCATTCAGCCACAGGATTAGCAGTACGGCATGCCAACAACACGGATGATCCCAGTTCCGTTTCCGTATGCTCCGGGATGTCGACGAACACCACGGCAATCGGCGACGACTTTGTGCCCGGCATTATGTCGTCCATGGAGTGACCCTCCGCTTCAGGAACGACGGTCGACTCCGAGACATTTCCGATATCTTCTTCCGATATCGTAGTCGTACTAACGGATTGGTCGATAGGAATACCTAAATACCAAGCAAAAAAGCAGTAATTGTAAATTTATAATTTTTAAATTTGTTTTACTTGGAATATTTTTGTTTGTAATGAGAAATAATCGATAGAAATTAATTGCGTTGAAAAAAGCAGCTTTACAATTGTAGTAAAATTCTTTAATGACGTCTTTTACCCTTCCTCACAGAATCTAAATCAATTATATTAAAAAACTTTACGAGAGCTACAAAATTGCTTTTTCTGCTGAGATTCCGCAGTCATTGTAGAGCTGCAAGAGAGAACCGGAAGTGAAAAAAAAAACATGCTTCAAAAAAAGTTTTTTATGCCTTTCCTGCGCGATAACGTAATATAGACGTTTCTACTCTCGTGAAAGTAACGAATGATAAAAAGATCACCGACATTAAATGTGTTAATAGAGCAAAGGTGTCCCTGCGAAAAATCGAAAGCACAGGTCGGCAAGCCGACGTCGCGAGGACGTCGCAAGACGTCCAGCGCGAAGAAGAACGGATATGTGGGACATGCTGGGCAGGAAGCTACCGACAGTCACGTAGACAATCGCCTTGCGTCGCGCGTCTGTCACCATGCGCAGATAGAATCAGGGTCGGATCGATAGATCGACTCGGGAATCGTTCGTGTCTCCAAAAGCAACTGGCTTTATTTCCGTATTTGCGTGACTATTTGCGGAACTGATGAAACTTTATATTGTGCAAGAATTACTGACGCAGGCATCGTGTCTATTGCGCAGCCAGGCAGCTGTTCACAGACATATGTTTACGTGTAATATCACGTGAATTAAATTGACTACAATTATAATAGCAAGGAGAGACGCAGCCAAACTTTGAAATTCATGAGATAGATGGATTAATTTAAAAAAGCGTATGTAAACGTTAATTAATCGATTACTATAGAATAATATAAATATTTTTATAAGATATAAATAAGCCCAGTAGTTTTATAAATTTATAATAAAATAGGTAAACTTTTAATATCAGAAAATTTTGATAAAGTATAACAATTAATAAGTTAATTAATAATAATCTTGTTACGTTAATTAATCATATTTCTTTTAATCATATTTTCTAAATATTTATTTTAAATGTATAAAAAAAGGAGAAGAAAGTAAAGGTTTCTCAAATTATTGTTTTTTTTTAAATTCCAAATTAATTTTCAAATTAATCTAAATTGTTAAAATCGTTTAGGGGTTTTTGAAAATTAACGAGCTAATAAGGATTCTTGGAATCATTCACCGGCAATTGGCAAAGGAAGAGCGCCCCTGCGACCGATTGCACGCTTTCTACATGGCGAGTATGTAGTGCGTGCACAATTACAATGTCCGAAGTTGGTCTTTGGTATTGTCGCGTAACGTTCGCCAGTTTATACGTTAAAGCCGATGTCGTCCTCAAGACAAACGGAGCTGGTCGCTGACACTGGAAGGTCGTTTCCTTTACATTGACATACTGATTGTCGGCACATGGTTTTATAGCGCTACGTGCCGTTCGACCTTATTAGACCTGATCGAATGTTGGAATCCCCGCATGGATTCCTCTGTCGCAATCGGCCGTTGCACCAATTTCGTAACAGCCATAATTCCGTACAATGTTACGCCTTGAATGGAGTCGGCGAACATGATGGAAATTCGTAAGCAGATCAACGTGATATTATTCTGAAGTTATTATTCTGAAGAGTTATATGTTATATGTATATAACTATTTTTAATGATAGACATACGTTTGTAAAACTATAAATTGTAGAGTAAGATCTTATGGATTTAACTTTCACTCAAAGGACACTTGGTCCTAGCATCTTCCATTTCATGTTATTTTTATGCTCGTCAAGTACGCAATTATTCCTCGAACCAATTTTCCCAAAATTGATTCCTAATTTTACTTGGGATGCGGTTTTTATTTTACGCCTTGATATTCTTCGCTAACATTTAACTTTCACGCTTATTTTATAGAACATGATTTAGCTACTGCGCACAGCCGACCAAGAATTTTTGGGTCGAGGAAGTGGGTAGATCCCATTGAGTTGCTATTAACTTTCTTTGACAAATATTCACTTTCTTTGACAAATATGCGCGTCTCAGCATTGGAGAATTGGCTTCAATGTCACATTGAATGAAAGATTGGTTTCAATCACGTTTGATCTTTTTGAAAGTCCGATATTCATTTTTTGGAAGCTTTTTTTTTTAGAAGGAAAACAAAATGGAAAAATATGACCAATACGCGATAATGGAATTTCATCCCAAGACTATTTTAAATAATAAATATAAGAAGTACAGTCAGACAGGATTGGTCGATCTATTATAGCAAAAAGAAAAATGGATCTAAAGAGGTCATGATAAATTTTATTTTGTAATTAAAAATGCAAATAATCTGTGACTTATTCAATAATACAAATAAAAAGTATAAATTTTTTAAATAAAATTTTGAGATCGATTCGGTTTTACCTCCTTTAAGCAATTTTTTAAATATTTTTTTGTGATATAGTTACGATTGGAGTACATAATAATCTTAATAAAATAAAACAAAGAAAATAAACGCTTTATAGACATTAATTGTACGTATAAATTGAAGACTCTGATAATATAAAATGGCAGAGTTTGATAATGAAACTGATTAACATAAAGATTAGACCTGAAGAGCAATCTTAATTGCTGGAAGTCTTAGGCATTATCGATATTTTAATTGTGAAATTTAATAGACAAATTTAAATGTGTAAAAAATAAATAAAATATAATCCGACTTTTAGGATGGTAAAAATTCATTGTTGAAGCTTTTTTTTTAGTATACTAAAATTTTTTCAGATTTTCAAATCCAGAACAATAAAAAAATTGCTGTGTTTCTCTTATTGTTAAAATTTATATTACCGGCGAAGAATTAAAAATAAGCTACTTATAATTTTTTGAAGATAATATACACATGTGTGCAGAAGAATCATTAAAATTTAATTAATAGTTATTAAGATGTGCAGTATTAATATTTTTTTTATTTCAAGGGAAAAAATCTTTAACTTTTAAATGTAACTTTTGATCTCTCTCGAGGAGATGTTAATTTTCCTGACAATATTCCCTCCAAAATTACCAATTCAAATACTTGTGCCATACGGAAGATCGTTAAGGCGAATGCAAATTGTCAGTTTATATGAGTCAGAATTGTGCGTGCTTTAAGTAGTTATCTATGCGTGAAGCATTCTTCTCTGATATTGTTAGACGCGGCTGTTTAACTAGCGATAATTATGAAAATTATTAATCATTACAAAGGATGCGCAATAGCATTAAAACATAGACGTAACTAATACATTATTTCCTATTTATGATAATAAAAAGCAACGTAATACTCAAGATTTATTACGAGATATAGTTACAGGATATAAATTTAAATAAAAAATATGTTACGAAAGTGTGCGGAACATTGTTACCTTACGGTTATTCTTGACAGACAATTGCGGTAATCAAAATCATTATAAAAATAGAATCTATTGCTTAAGTTAAAACATTATTCTCGTGATAATTATCTAGAAAAAAATTGAATTTTTTGTTAAAAATGATGACGTCAGGACGAATTTTTTAACTTTCCTTTCCAATGAGATCTTAACGTTTCGTTATTACAAGCATATATATAATAATATTACACCATATTTATGCATCAAGATAAATGCACCTTTCTGATGAAGCTTTTGAATTGGTATAAACGAAATTATTTGAGAAAGTATCCTGCTCGTCAAACTCTTCCTGGAAAATTAAAATAATATTTATAGTCCAGACGCAAGAGATTTTGTTCGATTTGAAGATTTATTTGAATTCGTTGAACTACTGAGCTATAAAAATCGGCTGTTTTCTTTTTGTGAGAAGTGGGAAATCCTTGACGTCATCACTCTTGCTATGACTCGAACAGGTTTTTAATCGACTATTACAGAAACCTTATTATATCGTGTTAATTATACGCGTAAACTAAAATAGTAAATGTAGTAATGAGTAATACATTAAAAATATTATGTTTATGATAACCTGTTAAGATAACTTTCTATATGCAAAATGATTGATTTTTAGCTGATTTTGATTTTTAGCGACGATAAACAGTCAAATTCTGTAACCAACATCATTTTGATTTTCATGACATCGAAATAAGGTTATTTTAACTTTCTCTTGACTTGGTGTGTTTTTTAGTTTTTATTAAATTTATATTAGCATTTGAAAGATACCTTTTCCTTTCTTCCGGTCTCTCCGATTTTAATATTCTAAATTCTAATGCCAGGATACTTTCAATTTGGTTTCTCTTCTCTATAATCAATCCCGGAAATGCGCACGGCTGATCGCAGCCCTCCGGTTTCCTGCCGATGAATCGACTCACCGCGAATATTAATCGATCGCACCATTACTGATCAGACTCGGAAATCCATCGTCGTCGTATTCGTTTCCGCTCACGAGATCATTTTTACTAGTCGCGTTTGCACGCTATCCACAATTTCTCCACTTGCTATCCAGTTGAACATATATATGCCATCCAACGCGAATTTAAATCACAGACATTATTGATCATAAATCTTTCTGCAATCGATCACGGCCGTTAGCGATATTCTGCAGATTTCTTGAAACGAGTTTTTCTTTCCTTTCTGTAACGGAATTCTCTAACGTCTTATCGACAATGAGAGCAGGATCATCTTTGTCATTGGCTGTCGCTAGTTAACGATATATCGTTAATATGACCTTAGAAAATCTCACTAAATATACCAATCTCTTACTTATTTCACTTTTATTACATTTATCTTCGTTTCTATTCCGATTTACCACTTACATAACTTTTATTAATAATTAAAGTCTTTGGGATAACAATTTAAAAATTAAAAAAAATTTATATGAGCCACGAATAATTGTATAGATTAATAATTCAAAAGTTAGAAAGAAAACTTATAAAAGCCTGTAAGACCTAACGCAGTTATTCACGAATAATTGCATTAGCTCCTACAAGCTCCCTTTCTAAACTTTGAATTATTATTCCAAGGCCTTATTTAC